AAAACAAATATACAAATAATCACCAACCTTTACTATAACAAAAGAGCTATAATACAAATTGAAAAAAGATCAACAAAAGAAATAAACATAAAAGGATGGGTCAATTAAGGTTGTATTTTATCACAAACTCTATTTAACTTTACTAAAAACACAGAATTAAGAAGGTGCTTGAAAACAAAGATATTGTTATAAAAGTGAATTCCGATTAACAATATTAGCAAAAATGCTCAGCGATTTAAAAGAAGCTATTAACAAAAACAGTAAATATAAGCGAAAAATATGGCGTAACACTCAACAAAAGTAAAACTATATTTATGGCTTTATCGAAGAAACATATTAATTTTGGTCTGAAGCTATTTTATTGTGTCATCTTAATACAATTTATTATTTTTATTGGAAATATGTTTTGACTTTCACTTTGATTTTGATGTTTCAGAAATCGTTCTCAAAACATTATTTTCAAAATGAAGTGGAAATCATTATGTCAAAATAAACTTATTTTAAAGTAAAATTGTTACTTATTTCCAATAAAAATAGAGAAAAATATTAATAATATCAATCTCCAAATTAACAATAAGAAAGGGTTTTGAATAGACTGAAAGAGTTGAGAAATAAATATCTGGGAAAATATATGAGAAAGAATGATAACACAATAAGAATTGGGAAAGTGCAAAGCACTGAAGAATATGAAAATAATACTGACTAGTCTAGATTTAAGGTAAAGACATGTCTATTAAAATGTTATATTCATTCTATCCTTGTATATACTGTGGAGATGTGGACTGTGAAAATGAATAAGTACTGCTGCTGCAGGGAAAACTTTCTAAATATGTAATTATTATATATGTATAGTAAAATATTGAAAATACCCTGGACTGATAAAATAACAAATGCAGAGGTACTCAGAAGAATGAGAAATGGAAAAACATTACTGTTGACCATTAAAACTTGAAAACTTCAATATTTTTGGCATGTTATGTGTAGAAATAAATATCAACTTATACAAAACATAATCAAGGTAAGAATTGTAGAAAGAAGGATAGGGAGAAGAAAGATGTCTTAGCTGCGAAATTTAAGAGAGTGATTTGGTTGTAACTCCAAATCAACTGTTCTGTGCAGCTGTTCAGAACAGGCCTAACAGGGACAACAAGTGAAGAATAAGGACATAAAATTAAACTCTTAAGAAAATCAAAAAGGAATTTATGTTAGTTAATTGGCATATAAGGTGATACATTAAAATATTAAAGATTTCCTAATAAAGTTGACAAACCAGTGTACATATTATACTAAAATTTTATGAATCTTCCATTATCCTGATAATATATTAAAAAAAAAAAAGAAACTTGTTATAGTAACCTGTTATAGAACTAGAACCAAAACTAGTAATTTAAAAAGTAATAAACACTATCTAGTAATGAGTTTTCCAGTATAATTAACTAGAATTCCAATAAAAATATGCATACCAACATAAAGCCAGCTAATTCCAGGAATATAAATGCTATTGGTCAGTATATACACTACTTATGTAAGAACCTGATCACAATCAAAAATATACTTTCAACAATATTATGAATCATTAGAGTTGATAAATAATATTACAGAATTCTAAATTAAGAGTATGGTTCATTCAAAACATGAGTAATTTCTTCATCACTATGGACTACAATCACAGTTCTGTTTCATTAGATAATAATTCTAAAAAATGTATTGGGCAATTATCCTCATTATGGATGTTATCATAAGTACAGTTTTATAGTAACTTTTTTAACTTAATATAAGCAAATTGCAAAATATTTAAACTATATATTCAAGAAAAGTTTTATTCCATAGGATGTTTGTGATTTTTACTGTTGTAGTACTTCAACACATGTGTAATACTTATAATTATTTATAAACATTCTAATATATATTTCTGTTTTTCAATTTAATATGATATCTATTATTCGATATCAAAAAAATCAAAAATGACTATCTATGATTAAAACAAACTCATTGCCATTGAAAGGGAATTAATGGGGTAGGAAAGCACCACAAATAATAGCTTATACTACTTAAGTATATCAACATCACCTTCTTGTAGCACTCACTGTTATGTGGTAAATATAGCTCTGAAGAATGAGTATCAGTGAGATAACTGTACAACTGTAATTAAGAAAGTATAATACAATGAAATGAAATGGTTAACCCCAATAATAACACATCAGGGGAAATAAAAAGTCTGTCTGTCTCAAAAAACTCATATAAAACTGTAGAGAACACTGATAGTCCCTGTTCTCATGTGTGGATCAGAGACAACATGGACCACAACCAAAACAGATGAATCCTCTCTATCGATGTTTGAAAGAAAAGTATTACGCACAATATTCAAAGCAATCTGTGAGAACAGAATATAGAGGCATAGATATAACTTTAAACAGTAGAATATCTACAACATAACATAACAACATAAGTTTGATGGAAAAGATATTAGCACTTTAATCAAGCTAAGCTATCTGCAGTCTGAAATCAAACATAATAAAATAGATTCTAATAGTGCAACCAGAGGGAAATTAGAAGACACTAGGCCAAAATTGAGGTAAATAGATGGGGTAAGATAGGATGCCAAGAAGATCAGTGTTGCCTAGTGGAAAATTCTAGCAAGAGACAGAACAAAATGGCAAAGGAAGCTTGAGAAGATTGAGACATTACAGACAAAAAGTGTATAATTAAAGTTGTAACTCTCCTTAACAGCTACACAAGGGAAGTGACCGTAGAATGGTGCACACCAAGGTAGCAATTTAAATCAATAAAGAAAGAAATAAACTAACAAAAAAGCAACCAACAAAAGCTTGGTCCTAACCAAAAATGAAAGAGCTTGTGGAACAAATCAAATAACCATTGCTTTAAACAACAGATTTTTTAGAAATGATATGAATAGTAAAACAGCTAAATTACTAATATCATAACAGATACACCAAGAAAGCTTTGTGTGAGCAACAGGAGAGAGTATATAATTATCCTAAGACAATAATTAAAATGAAAGAAAGAAGAAATATGTTAAAAGATGTAAATATTGAACAAAACATAAATAAAATTAATAAGGAGATGTCAAAAGAAACCAGAAAGGACACATAAAAATATTGGCATAAAAAATTATGAACATAAACAGAAGATTGGAAAAACTAACAAAGGAAGAATAACTGCTATATTCAACAGGAGAATTCTATGAAACACTATACACAAATGAATTCGCCCCATATCCAACAGAGCACACATTATGAACTAAAGTTCTGACTTCATAAGAGAGAAAACGAGCCTTGAAAAATATAGGTAAATTTTTTTTCAAACAAATCTGAATTCAAATTTTTGAATATTTTATATTTTACATCGCCATCTTTCCTAGGTTCTCCACACATTTTTTTTTTGGTTTCTCTGGGTTACCAAACCAACAGTATGTATTCCCATCTAACAGGACTGTGTTTCATCATTTCTTTACTTACTCGGTAATATAAAATGTGTGAGTCATGAAGCAGGGACTGTCAAGGTATTCTTGTTGCAGTTTCGTTATCTTGTACTGTTCATTTATTGGTTCCGTTAAGACTTGCCTTCAGGATATCTAGTGGAGTATTTATCAAAAAATAACACAGGTGTCCTAAGGTCACCTCAGTGAGGTCAGAATTTTCGTATAGCAAAAGCTGGCTTGATCCTGAAGTTCAGAATGCATGGAATGCAAAAGCACTCTATCGATCCTTTGGGCTTAGAAAGTTTTCAGCTAGAAGTGTCAGAACGGTTACTAGCTTGTGTTGGTCAAGAGTTCATAACAATGTCACTTTTTGATTATTGGAAAAGTATTGGATAGTTCACCCATATATATGGAATGTGAGCTGAGTTTTGTTTAGACCCTGGGGAGACAGGTTAGTTTTACACTACTGATGACTCATTGGGATAGTACTCCTGCTCAGTCAGTACGAGATGAACTGCAGATTCTGACATAAAAAACAAAAAATCCGCCTAAAAAATGTATACTAATTCTGAATCACTTACTTGAAACAACTTAATCTAAATAGATTAATAAATAAAAAACAGCAGTTATTATTGCTTGCTTATCACATAAAAGCAACTAAGCCCTTTAGTTAGTAATTGTTTGAAATTAAAACAAAAGTTTTAAAGTAAGTAAAAAAAAAATAAATGACCTATTGCTACTTGATATAAAACCCTTGACATAAAAATATAAGGACATGGGGCTGAATTAGGTTTTTTATAAGTGGGTCTGTATAAAAACTATAAGGTTTGTACAAAAACTGTATTTTGGATATTAAAACATGCAGCAAAAAACAAATATTAAATTTGTTTATTAATTTTTCTATAGTGACCCATATTCACTAATTGACATTTATTAGGTGCCAACACCCAAATATATTCAAAATCAATGTTTATAAATTCAGGTAATTCCCAAAAATATTAGCAATTTATAAAAATTTAGGTTTCTGCAAAAATTAATTATTTACCTGTTATTTTTATGTAAAAGAATGTATAGGCATTTAAAAGGATGTTGACATTTTCACGAATTGACAGCTTGCAGTGAATCACCGTGTAGAAAATCTTATGCCTGACCTACTTGTAATCAAAATGCAGTAAAAACTAAAAATATTTAAAAAAATAATCCAAAATTAAGTACTTGCCCTGACTCAAGAAATGATTTGTTTATTATTATAAAAGTATGCAGACTTGGTACGAGGTTAAAGGATACCTGTAACCATCAATTAACGGGAATACTATGGTTTGGAAAACTTCAATATTAATTTCTTAAAAACAATACCTAGGTCCAATTTATTACTAACAATCTACATTTATTATAACTTTAATTGTAATAAAGGAAATAAATATCCTGGAAATATATTAATAACATTAATACATTTTACTTCAAATGTTATTGTTTTGGTTTAAGGTTATAAGATTATTTGTAAATACCGCTAAATTTGGTTTTATCTATACAAAAACAATAACCAGCGAGGACATACCTTATCAAAAAAAGATGTTATCCATAAATTTATCGTTCTTTATTATGGAAACGGCACACACATTCACAGCGAACTGGGATGGGCCACAAACCATAAACAACAGAAACGACAAACGAACAACGGAGCAACACCGAAGAACACTATTCAATCGAAAACGACTGTAGCGACACTGTCAAATAATATTCAGAAACTGATATTTTATCGAATAACACTTCTAAGAAAATGTAACTAATTAGTTTTATTAGGAAATTAGTTTCTATATAATAAAATATTGTTTTCATTATCACTAATATTAGTTAAGAAATTATGTTTATACTGCGATCTACTTTTCCGTCGCATAGACACGGCGTACGAATATATGCAAAATTGTAGTAAACTGAAAAATTACGTCACGTATATTTATAAAGACATGATCGTGTCACACCCAAGAGATAGTTTTCATGTATTTGTTTAAATTTTCATTAACAAGCATTAACTGTAATTAAATTAAATATTAAATGACAGGATAATCCGATTTCAAATATTAATGTTATCATGGCGGCTCTTGAAAATGACAGAATTTTTACTGCTGCTGGTTGAACTTAGAATACAGGGTCATGCAAAAATATATTTTCAAATTCAAAAACAGTACGTACCTATCTTGAAAGATTTTTAAAAATCTTGAAGAACCTTAGAAAATCTCTTATGAAAATAGTGCATTGAGAAATGAAAAAATGAATTGTATTACGTATTAATATCCTGATTCGGGAAGTCCATGTCAACATTAAGGTTTAAATACTTATATCAAAATCAAATTTAATTTCATGTTGGTCAATTTGGTGTTTGAATTTCGAAATATATAGCTGTTTTATAATTAGGTTATTAAATTGATATAGTCTATTCAGAAATACAATATCTTTATTATCGATTTGTAGCGATTTCTGGCATAAATATACCGTACACTTATTTCTAAAGGCCTGGAAAGGTTCGAACGTAGTTATGAGGTTCGAATCGTTTTATAATGTCCATGTGTCCGCTTCTTGTCGATCGACGATGATAAATATAATAAAAGGTTAAAGTTATGCGGAAAAATGTTGATTTTATTGACAGCTACTAGTAATTACACAATATGATGTTCGTTAGGTAACTACTTATAATAAACTGTGCTCACATGAGCTCAAATCCCCAATTTATTAGCTCACAAATAATTCATACCTCAGCACAGAGGTTACTGCTTCTATTATACCATACCAACAAACTTTAAACTATTTGCTTACATTACATTTATCTGAATTATTAATTTAATCTAGGCCTTAATTGCGTCACTTAGGAAGTTCAATTAGAAAATATATTATTCGGCAATTTATTTAGTTGTAGGTAAATGAACTAATTATTAAAATATTATACGATATGGTTTTACAATGACTCACTTATACACGGTGAAACTATAAAAGATTAAGAAGGTAAGAATAATGTGAGATTACAAATTAAGGGGTTAATTTGTGATTGAACATATTGGCCACTATAAAAAAAAACAGACTACCAATAGAAAATATTTAAACAAAACTCAACCAAAAATCAAAACGAAGAAAAGATAGAACGTTCATATGTGCAACGTGGAATATACAAGGATAAAACAAAAAGGCGACGGAAGTGATCAAGGAGTTTAGAGAAAGCAACATCGACATACTAGTAATAAGAGAAACCAAAAAGAAAGGAAATAGAACGGAAAAAATAGAAGACCATATCCACTGCTGGAGTGGATTTAAAAAGGAATGTAGAGCAAAGGCAGGAGTGTTAATACTACAAATAAGTGGAAGAATAGGGTTAGAAGATAGGAGCCAAATAATGAAAGGATAATTAAAATGCATATAGACATATACGGTAACGAGACAGTGATACTCGAAGTATATGCACCAACAGACGATTGCACGAGAGTAGAAAAAGAAAATTTCATGGAACAACAACTACTACTACTACTACTACTAAGGATTTCCACAGTTTTCACTGTCTTCCTTCACTCAACCGTTTTCTACAATTTTCCCTGTCATTCCAGTCTCCATCTCGCAGGGTTCTTTTTTCCATAGCCTCGTCGATTTCGTCTCTGAATGACCTTCGGGGTCTTCCTCTCTTTCTTCTTCCGATCGGGCTCTATTCTGTGATTTTGTTTATCCAGCGTCCTCTGTCAGCTCTTCTGACGTGGCCGTACCAGGATAGTCTCTTCTCCTCTATATAGTCGATTATGTCTGATTGCACTCCCATTCTCCGCTTAATCTCTGCGTTTTAAATTCTGTCTCTTTTTGTAAGTCTACAGCTTCTCCTCAGGAACTCCATTTCTACTGCTCTTATTCTACCTCTATTTCTCTTGTTTATTGTCCAGTTTTCGGACCCATATATCAGGATACTTCTTGTCAGGGTATTATATATTCTCTTTTTTGTCTTTATCGTAATGTTCTTATTCCACAGCACTGAATTTAGTTGGCTTATACAGTTTCTTGTTTGTCTTAGTCTGTTGTTTATATCTTCTTCTGTTGTTCCCTGGTTCGATATTATGGTTCCTAAATACTTGAATTTATCTGTTCCATTTACTTGTCTTCCCTCGTCTATCTCTAGGTTTCTCATATCCTTGTTTTCTGTTGCTAGTTATTCGGTTTTCTCTAGTTTATTTCCATTCCGTTGTTTTTATATGCTTCTTCTAGTTTTCTGAGCATAAAGCTGAGATGTTCTTGATCTTGTGCGATGACTACTTGATCGTCGACAAAACTTAAGGTGTATAGGTATTCGTCTCTTACTGGTATGCCCATTCCCTCGCACTTTCGCCTCCATGGTTTGAGTGTCTTTTCCAAGAATATTTTAAACAGAGTAGGGGACGTAGCACAGCCTTGTAGAAGTCCTTTTGTCGTCTTAAATGGATTGTAGGCTTTATTTCCACATTTAATAGCTACTTTGTTTTCTTTGTACAGTGTTTTAACTGCTTTTTTTAGTGTTTGTCGGATTCCGAGATCATTCATTGCTTCCCATAATTTGACTCTAGGTATCGAGTCGTATGCTTTCTTTAGATCAACAAACGCCAGATGGACCGGTCTACCTTTTGCCATTTTCTTCTCTATCAGTTATTCTAATGTGTACGTATAATCTAGGCATGATTTTCCTACTGTGCACCCTGCTTGGTCTTCTCCAATTTTTCCTATTATTTCAGTTTCTAGTTTTTCCTTGATAATTTTCCCGTAAAGTCTACCTACGGACGATATTATACTAATTCCTCTGTAGTTTTCACATTTTTTTCCTGTTTCCTTTCTTATGTATGGATGTGATGTATACTTGTGTCCATTCCGCAGGTATTTCCTCTCCATTTAGTCATATTTCGAACATTCTGTGTAGCATGAGGAATAACTTTTCCGTTCCGTTTTTAATTAGTTCGTTTGGTATCCCTACGGGTCCTTTGGCTTTTTTGTTCTTCAATGTCTTGATTGCTCTCTTGACTTCTGTCAGACTTATTTCTATCTGGTTGTATGTCCCATTTCCTGCATGTTCTGTATCCTCTTCCTGAAATTGGGGACGGTTTTCTGTAAGTAGTTCTACGTAGTATTCTTGCCACTCGTTTTCACTAATTTTGCCGATCTGGGTTTTCTCTGTCTTATTTCGTTGGAGTGCTTTTAATATTCGCCATGATTCTGAATTTCTCGTTCCTCCGATATGTCGTTCTATCTCTGTGCATGCTTGTTCCCATCGTTCGTTCTTTTCATTTGTTACTCTTTTCTTTACCTCTGTGTTTTTCGCTCTATATAGGTCTAAGTCTTCCTGTTTTTTGGTGTTTAGGTATTTTATGTGTAGTTTTTTCTTTTCTTTTATACATTTCAATGTGTCTTCCCTTAATTTGATATTCTGATGGGTGTTCCTTTGGTCGTCTTCTCCAAGAGCTTCTAAGGCCACTGAAATTAAGCAGGTTTTTATGTGTTCATGCATTTCATCTAACGTGTCATATCTGAATTCTTCTAGTTTTTGGTCTAGTCTTCTTTTTTTTGTAACTTCAACACCAAATAAAGCTAATCAAGAACATGGAGATAATTATAACAGGAGACCTTAACGGCAGAACCGGAAGGAAATAAAACGATAAAGTAGTGGGGAGATTTTGAGAGGATGAACAAAACGATAACGGAGAACGTCTGAATTATGCGAACTAAACAACGTAAAAATCACCAATGGATTCTTCAGAAATAAAAATATTCATAAATATACATGAACGAAAGAAACACGAAAGCTGAAATCGATAATAGACTACGTAATAGTCAAACAAGACACTACAATAAAGATAAAAGATGTGAGAGTCAGAAGAGGTGCAGAATGTGGAACTGACCATAAACTACTTACAGCAAAAATGGGCATTAATTGGAAATATTACAAGATCCTCTCTACAGAAAAACCGTTGAACACCTGTTGAGAATGTAATACATTTATATTGTATACACAGATATATTGGTGTAAGAGTAAGCGGAACGCACCCATAGTGTCATGGGTTGACATGACAGACAATAATAGTAATGTCAATGAGTATCATGTAGTTGTAGGTAGTAGTAAGAAGTATGGTGGCTTAAGTTAGGTTAGTTAATTAGTATGTATGTTATAGGAAATAAAGCCTTTTATAATAGTAGTAAAGTACGACTATTTATTTTCCAAATCCACACCTTAACATGGTAGCAGAGGTCCGTGGTTGGAAAGTCGTACCTTTTACAACAGAAAAAGTTTGGTGCAGTTTGAAAAAAAAAAGTGTGACACATGATGGCAGGTAGTAGTGATTTTAGAATACCTATATTCGATGGGGAGAATTATAAAATGTGGAAAAAACGTCTTATGCTATTTTTGAAAATGAAGAAGTGTGATGTTGTGGTAACCAGACCGAAAAATGAAAATGATGATACAAATTGGGATGACGATGATGTAAAAGCAATGAATTATATATGCGGTGCAATATCGGATCGACAGATGGAGTACATCGACGAAAAAACTACGGCGTATGAGATGATAAAGAAATTTGATAATTTATATTTGAAAGAATCAACGGCATTGCAGATAGTATGTAGAAATAACTTGGAAAGATTAAAATTGAACAACTATGGAGACTGTGCAACATTTTTTAGTGACTTCGAAAAAGCTATAAACGAGTTAAAAAGCGCG